GGCCTGCAGAAGCTCTGCCCTCAGACTCTTTCTGCCTCTCCTGAAGGGTCCAGGCATCACTTTAATCTGATTTGCTTCTTATTTCTCTGGCCAGAATTCTCTTGTTCTACCCCTACCCTGAATGTGTTTCAAAGGACTAACACAGTTCCTCTCCTCTGCTGGTGTTTTTCTCACAGGTTCTTATTTGCAGAATTTCATCAATATTCCATCCCATATTTCAAAATAGTAAAGAACAAGAAAACAGGTGGGTTTGTTATTCTTTCCCCCAAAGCTTCCTAAGGACACCTTTGTTTGCTGTAACTGAAAAGGAACTAACTCGGCCTCTGGCCTGTGGGTTAAAGTCCTGGGAGGAGGTGGGCAGGCTTGCAGCATAGTTCGATGACAATGCAGAACCAAAGCAGACATTCTCCAGGCCAGAGTGCAGGCATACAGTCATACAGTCTTAACCCCATAAAAATATCGGCACCAAAAAAAATGGCACCCCATAAAAACACGGTGAATCTACAGGAAGAAATCTGGTGCTCCCTAAGAATTCTTGTCAGTCAAGAATATTTGCAAACAACTGGCAAAAGCAAGTCCATGGCCTAAGCTTCAGGCAACTGGGACATTAATTACAGGTAATTTAATGTCCTTCCCTAAACCTTCATGAATGATAGCCATTCTGCAAATTAAATCTTGCAGGTGTTTAAATGAAAAAAAGTAGACAGGTTAATCACTAGATTAACAAGGCAATTGTTCACATTTCTTCTGCACTACTAGGTTCTATAGTGAGGTCTGAAACTGAGAATCTTCCCCAGGATATATTCAAGTTTAATAAACAGCCCAATAGTCTAAATAAAATATAACTCCAAATACTATGATGATACATGCTGTGTATCCAGCGATATACCTTTAAAGTAAAGAAAATGCTTATTATACAATATTCTCCCCGTTGAATATTTGTTATTATTACCATGATTGTTATGAAGATCTTACTGATATCATCTGCAAATGTTGTTTCTGTCTATATAACCTTTTTATTTTTAGTTCATCTTTATCTTTTATCTACATAGATATTTTCTCACTATAGTCTGTGGAAGAATAGCAATGTTGTGATACTGAAGATGTACTTCCATCTATTCTTATCTCAAGTTACAGAAAAATTAGAACAAAGAAGCAAAACTTTGGTGCTATTAGGAATTTGTGTCTATTACTAAAGTATCAGTGATACCACTATAAATTTGGTATCTGAACGAGGAAAGAAAACCTCCTTTACATTGCCTGTGTTAGCCGTTTGTCTTGAATTTTGATTTCTTGCTTAATTTGTAGACATCAGTTTAGACAACAGGATATTTCCCATGCAGAGGGAAAAAGATCAAACACAGGATATTTGGAAATGACTACTATTTGTGGTCTTGTTTGTTACTCTTGTTTTAAGTGGGATAATGGTTACAAGGCATCACTCCCTTAGGAAAGAATATTTTTAAGTGTCTGTTATTGCGCAAAGTAAAACTGGTATTAGTTGAACTAAACACTTCAGCATCTCTTACTAAACCACTAAGGAGTCTGCAACTTTCCAACTCCTAGGCAAAACACTAGGCTATAAATGTTCTCAAGTTCTTCTCTACTTGTGGCCTCAAGAAGGGGCTGGGAAAAGAATGCGCTATTAGTTCCCTGAAAAGTCTGCAGTGCATCAAGTAATGAGATTGACATCCCATTGTTCGGCTGATGCCCACAGACTACAAAAGTATTTGTCTTACCCATTGTTTCAAACACTTTGGAGTCAGCAGTCGAGCCTGTTGGGGATAAGGATTCTATGAAATATGATTATGAATCAACACCATACACTTCCTAGAGCCAACATCCTGAAACGTGTAAGCTGGTAGTTGGGCTCCTTAAATGAATACAGCTGTGACTCACAGTTCTAGCAGAAGCATTCCGAAGAAAGCCTACATACTTACAGCAATCCAAATTACTCTTCAAATTGAATTTTAAGTTGGTTTAAAATTATAACTTACATGCCACAAAGGGTTAATTTGGCTTCCCTCCATCCCCCCTTACTTTACAGCATCAGGGTTTGGAAGAGAGGGATGTGACATCCTTAACCTATTCCATCAAACAAACACAGAGACCCCAGGAGAAAGAAGGTTTGAGAAGCAAATGAAATTTAAAGAGCCAATTTTCAGCAGGCCTTCATTCTGAGAGTTGGGCTATTTTTGTCCTTGTTTTTTAGCAGAAAATCAGCTCCTGCCTTTATACCCAAGCATTTGTGAAGAGGATGGCAGGGGAAGCACAGGCACAGCTGTCCAATTTACATTCACAAATGCAGGTGTTGCTCAGACACAAAACAGAGGTCAGCTGAATACTGCTCCTAATTAGTTACCTTTTCTACCAGGATTTTTCTTTGTAAAGTTATGCATGCAATTTGGGTTCAACTTAGAGACCATTTTTAGATCCCAGCATGCTATCTACCAAGAAGCGGGCTGTCATTATAAAGCATAATTTACAACATAGTTAATTTTACATGTTTTTTTAGATTCTACAGTATACCTAAGGCAAAATTCTGTTCTGCATACACATTATTCACTCTGTTTCCCATCCACTTCTCAATATTTAAAAGTGTAGAATTTAGCCAGAAAATCTTTTATGTAGGAATCGGAGGAATTCTGCCCTCTAAGATTAAGCAGTCCACCATTTTAATAATGAGGACTAAAGACTTTGTTAAATGATACAAGAACAGAAGTAGCTATTTGCTATTGTCTTCAGTGAGGAACACCCTGGGGCTTAGTACAGCAGTTCTTAGAAATGGCAGGATGGAGACTGGTATCTAATACAATCCATTAGGAAACCCAAGCCCTAAATGAAATGACCACAAAATCCTATCAGTTAACAGAAATGCAGCAGCTGTACATGTTTATTGTAATACAATAGGATATTGTTGCAGAGATAACACTCTTGAAATTAAAAAAAAAAAAAAGAATCCAGCAAGCGATGTGACCAGTTTATTTCTCTATCTGAAAAACGAGACCGTCTAGTGCGGCAGAGGTTTGGAATACATAAATAAGCATGAAGATTGCAGAGAAGACAGGTATTGTATGTACACTAATGGGCTGCTGGGGTCAGCCCTCAAAGTCACTGGCTAAACTTCAAGTCACTGCCGCTCCCAGGTTTTATAGGATATTCAAAGAACTACCCCAGTAACTACTTGCAGGAAGTGAAAAGTAATGGTCTTACTCCCTTTGCTGATTTTACCTACTAAGTATTCCAAATACTCTTATCTTGGCTCCCAGTTATCCATTTTTCAAAACTGTATGCTATGGAAGTTTAAATTCAGTTTGACCTTAAGCTTTATAAATATGTATATGTTGTATATATGATATGTATTATACATATATATTTTATGGACTTTTTTTTTTCCAAATTGAATCAGATGACTTTTATCAAAGGCTTAAAAAGTTGGAACACTGTGCAAAGTGCAACATGTATTACCAGGATTGTGACAAATTTATCTTGCTTGACTTTATTCACTACATGCAGTCCATCAAGATTCAGACCCATAACCCTTTGGAATCATAGAAAGACAAAATCCCTGTTCTATAGCCATCTTCTGGGATGGAATGCAAAGTATTTTGTTGTGGTAAGTACGGCTTTGAAGATGAAAGCTCTGGGCCCACTCTTGTGATTGTTACCCCAGTGCTCAGCATTCAAAACGGGAGCCCCAGGGTCTCAGAGATCATTTTAATCCCCAAATATTAAAACAAAACGTGTCTCCCATGCGTTGCTCCAACCACCCTCCTCTAAAGTCTCACCAGCCCCTCCTGTGAGGCCCCTCCCAAGGGAAAGTGAACTGTTGACTGTCCCAAAAGAATTCCAATTTCCTTACTTGTCTCCCTGTTCCAGTGAAGATTATGAGACTAATTCTTAGAGACTGCTACTAAAATTCCACCTCGCTGAATTCTGCAGCCTAATTCTTTTGGCATTATGTTTTTTGGCCGAATGATGTGACCCAAATTTGAAGGAGATAATTTGCTGCAACAGTGCTTCTTGCAGTGCAGTGAGCCCCAAATTAGCATTTCAGGATTGCAAATATCAGACTTAAAAAAACAGTAACTGCTTCAAAGAAGGACAGATTTTGATACTGTATAATGGAAATGCTGAGCAAAATGTGGATGATTTTATGAATTAAGGAAGATTTGCAGATCAGTGGAAAATCATCAAGAACTAGCAATTGACTTCAATTATTAGTGGCAAAATGCAGTAGCGGTTCTTAAAAGATTGGGAAATTAACTGAGTGTGTATGTTGATTGTAAAAACATCATGAATTCCATTTCCCATCAATGGTGGCTAATGCTATTCTGAAAGGACACTTTCAGATCTGAGATGCCTTAAGACAAAACAAAAAAAGAAACCATAACCATGGCTGTTCCTGTGTTCACCCACCATGCTTCTCACAAACACTTCGCTGTATGAGCAGGGTTGGTTCATATATTCATGATTTCATCTTCTCTCAATATCAATCAATTTTAATGTAAGGTGTCAAGAAAAACTTGACTTTTTCCTGATTAGAATTTGTGGGTCGGATTTTGGAAAGAGCCAGAGCAACATTCGCCTTGCAAACAAGTATAAAGCTGAGCGGACTAAAAGCTTTCTGGCCATGCTTCTGTGGCTAGTTTCTCAGCCTTGATAGGGAATTTCTACCACTTCTCTCTCATAGACCCTGGTCTAGTACTCTTCGGCCAGAGAGACGCTGTCACTGAGGATACCGGCTGCGACCACCGTGTCCTCATCAGATTCATTCACCCTCTCAGAATTCAAACACCAAGACGAGAGAAATTGAAGGACAGGTTACACATTAGAAGGGGGCTCCTTAATCCAGAAGGTTAAGTATGACAGAGAAAGAGAACAGAGAAAACAGAAAGAATCAAGGTTCGGGTGCGCAGTGATCTCGGCTAGAAGCTAAGAGGCGCATGCGCACGGGGCGGTGAGGCCTGCACGGCCGCCTCTCTCTACGGTGCTCTTACCTTATTTCTCTTGAAGTAGGCTCGTCGGCAGGCGGCAAAGCACTTCTCGCTGCAGAAGCTTTTCACCTCACTTCCCATACTCAGGGAATAGCGCTTGATTCCCACTTTCTGGCACCAGGCACACATTATTTGTACATTTGACACATCATCTTCTATAATAAAAGTATAAGAAAAATGTTCATATCAGAAGCAAACATCCCTTCAAACTTAGACACACCCTGAACCTCACAGAATTACTTGAGGTCTGATCTTAATTTCAGTACCTCACCACTTTCTGACCTAGGAAAATAGCCAGGGGGAAGGACTTAGTGCTTTTCTCTCATTTTTTTTTTTCAGTTGGCTCCTATGTTTCCAAAGGACATCATTTATTTAAAAACCAAAGCATGACTGCACAGCCATGAGGGGTCCCAGGGCTTCTTATCCTGGTACGAATGCTTACTCTGCCTGGTTAGACCAGGCTCCGTACTAATGAAGCTTGTAAAGTGACTCCTTTCTTCAAAGGTGCTGCTGACAGCCTACCAGATCCACATTGAGTGGGTTGCCCAGTGCTAACCTACGAAAGTGATGTCCCCACGTGAATTGGGACAGTCAGGAGCCAGGCTCAGTCTTTCTGTGTTCCCAGATACTGTTACATGAAAGGGGGTGTTGTTGACTCTTGCAGTGTAACAATTTCCGGGTGATAGGGTCAGTCATTGAAAGAAAAGGTGTGAGTGGCCAGGTTCTCCGGAAGGAAGGCAGTATCCCAGCTCACTCAGCAGTCTGCTATGATACAGCCTTCCCTCACGGCTATCCTTGCGGAGGCGCAGGACTGATTCAAATTCCCCTCCAGGTGATGTGGCTCATGGTCCTTGGAGCAATGGGAATGGGGGAGTCAGCCATGAGGCCTGAGGTTACTCAGCTGCCCAGATCATTCTCAGCCAGACTGGTGGTCCTAGAGCTTCTGTAGCACCTGCTACCCGTGTCGTGGGAACACTCAGAATAATGTTAGGTGGTAGACAGATATTTTCAATATTTAAACTACTGTATTTCTTGTCCTTTGTAAGAGAAAAAAAAAACACACAAATTTAACTAGCACAACAAGCCCAGAATATCACAAATATTATTGCTTAAGACAAACAAAGGCTTTTAAAGTGAGTCAGTTAATAAAATATATTGAATAAATCATAGTGCAGGTGGTAAGATGCTGTAACAAGATGTGATGATGATATTCAAATGACTGGAGTCAGGGAAACACTGAGGTATTTACACGGAAAATAGGAGATGATTTCTTAGTGGAAATCTAGGAAATATTTCCTTGCTACCTCCTAGGGGGCTCTCACTATATCTTACGTTTCCATGGTCGTCCCAACTGACCGTGTGTGTGTGTGTCTGTGTGTATGACTGTGTGTATGATTGCCACTATTAGCCATACCTCTGCCTCCTTTGTGGATTTTTTTTTGTACTAACCCAAACTCATGCTCCAGACATGGGTGGCAATCATAAAATCCCCAACAAGCTCTGGTATAGTGTTGTCTGATTTCCAAATAAAATCCCCCAAAGACTAATTGCTAAGCAAGGCCTGGTCCATGAGCTGTTGACATATTCATGGTTCATAGAGCCTGTCATGCAATCATTCCATTTCCAGGGGAAAAGATTTGGTTTCAGGCAGTACGGTCATCAGCCTGCAAAATCAGAAGCAAACTAATTTGTAGTGCAGTGATATGGCTTTTTTTCCCCCCAAGTGTCATCACTCAGAACTCTGTGTAGCATTTTGTTTACCTTAATGGAATAAGTATTGTCATTTTAATGATCATTTTTATTTCACAAATTACATGTTGTAATTGATTGTTAATTATCAAATAAGACACTATAAAAAAAGAACCTTTGATGTTAATCAAGCATTTTTGATAAAATAACTTCCTTTAAATGGAGTCATAACATGAATTCAAATGTCATGCAATGACTATTTAATAATGTATTCTATTCAAAGAAAGATTTATTTACATTTTGTATGCTTACTAATATGGCACCTGTCTACAGACGTTCTACATGGTAAGAAAAATTAACAAGACTCTATAATTTACCTTACAGTATGGTGGAGTTTTAAAAATTAGATTAGAAAGAGTATATGTAGAAAATAATCATCTATCATTACTAAACTAACTAGCACTAATAGTTTCTATTTTTCCAGTTAACTATTTTAAAATCTTAAATTCCTGAAAAAAAGATGATACAGCAGAATTCTCACAAATGATCAGCTGGCAATAAGCTTGATTCTGGTGAAATCTGTAAGGAAAAAAAGATTTTACGGGGGAAATTATTTGGCCTCAAAGTTCAACGAGGAGACCCCACTTCCCCAGGATCCACTTTAGAACATGCATTAGGTTTCCCCTTGCGGTTTCTTCCTTTAAATAGTCTGATTTGGAGGGATGTGGGGGTAGAAAGTGTTTGAGTCCTAGATCTTTATAGTCTAAAAGCGAGAAGATACAGGGTAAAGAGTAAAGCTATAAGAAGGCTGGGCAGCTGGTCTGCGTCCTGGCCTGACCTGAAGGAATGATGCCCAGGGCAAAAAGGCCACTCACAGGTCTGTCTCATACTTTACTCCATCATCACCACACAGTCCTATTTGTCTTTTTTAAAGGAGAGGCAAGGATACTTTCTTACAATAGAGCTAACAAATAAAAAGTATAATTTTAAAGCAGATTATTTTTATAAATAATTTGTACTACAAAGTAACGATATGAGAAAATGAGACAAAAGAAATTGTGCACTTTTGTATCTGGCAGTTGGAAAACTCTTAGAATGGTACTTAGCATCTGTCTTGTTAAATAATTCAGTATTCTCTTCCGTTTTTCATAAAATTGTGTTTCATAAAGGCAAACCCTTTGGAAAACTGCCATCAGATATCTCCTGTTCTGTCACCAAACTGTTATCAACAGCTAATGCTCCAAAGAAGAGTCAGATAAAGGGATTATTCCAAAAGTTCAAGAAAACATTTTCAGATATCTCAGATATTCTAGTCTTTAAAAAAGTCATTTTTATTAATATATTTAACAAATAAGAAAGAACTTTGGTTATTAAAATTGTCAGCTAAAACTTAGCTGAAAATTCTGCCACCAGACATGAGACAGTAACCCATCTTAAACAGCATGTCTGTACCCCTAGAAAATGAGCTTTTCTTAAGTGCTTAAAGCCAAAATGCACGCATGCATGCTAAGTTGCTTCAGTCATGTTTGCCTCTTTGTGACCCTGTGGATTGTGGCCCACCAGACACCTCTGACCATGGGATTCTCCAGGCAAGAATACTGGAGTGGGTTGCCATGCCCTCCTCTAGGGGATCTTCCCGACCCAGGGATTGAACCCAGGTCTCCTGAGTCTCCTGCATTGGCAGGTGGGTTCTTTACCACTAGCATCACCTGGGAAACACTAAAGCCAAAAGAATTGGTTCATTTTAACAACCACATCTTTTTTTCTGAAACCCAAGAATTGTGTGCATGCTTTACACTGGCAAAACAGAAGGCCCCAGCCCTTTAGTCTTTTGAACCTTATCTGCTTTAAAATTTTTTAATTTTAAAAATATTTCTTCAAACTAGGAAAACCTGATCTCTTATATCTAGGCTAAAATCTGGGCCATTAGAGACAAGATTACCTCAAAGAAAACTGAGAAAAGATTTTTCCTTATAGACATTATTAGCCTGTGTATTTTTCATAATGAACAATGCAGCAACAAATGCAAAACGCTTACAGCTTTAAATCACACTTCCATAGTGAATAGTTTATATAACATGATAAATTTTTCATATGATAAATAACATATAAATATGCATCAGTCAAAATAGGCATGTTTCAATTAATCATGAAAAGTTTGTACCACCTCTTTAGGATTTAATTAAGCAAAATGTTTAGGGCATATTCTTTCCAATCTAATGTTCAAAGAGCTATAGAACATTATTCTACTTTATACCCCAGAAGGAGAAATCTAGAGTAATTACTCTGATATAAAATCAAAATTGTATTTATTTATCACAAGGCAGAGAAGTATGAAGTCAAGCATTTCTGGAATGCCTTGCTGAAGTTGAAAAATTGCTTATCTGGGGACTTAAAAATAAGGACGGCCTTGGTCAATGCCATTCTAGAGGCATTTTAATTGGCTATGAACATGCATACTAGCTTACCTGACCAGAGCGCAAAGCAAATCAGGAGGGACCCCACTTGATGGACCCCAAGTGATTCACCACCCTTTTGTAACTTTCATGGGAATCTAAGACTGAGAAAACAAATCTAAAAGTATCTGCTGGTGCTGTTTCTCTCTTCCAACAGTTCCTAGAATGCATATGTCCAGGTAATCATTTCAAGACTTGAATTATGTTTGAAACAAGCTGGAAGACAGCTTGAAGTGATTCCTGTGTGTTTTCCACACTATGAACTGAAAGCACAGGTAACATTCAAACTATTTGTTGGAGAAGTTACACTCAAGAACAGAATAAACACATGGCCTGGAAAGTGGGCAAGAAACTAAGATTAAAGTGTGCTTTCTTTGAAGCCCTTCTTGGAATAACTGAATTTCAAAAACCTTAAGGCAGTCTAATTTAAAAGTCTCTAGAGTGCTACAGAAGCTTCTGTACAATTCCTTGTGTTCTAGAAATAAACATAAGGGAGACCAAGAGAAAATCTGGACCACTGAACCAAAAGGAAGATAATTATGGCTAGTAATTATTTCATATTTAATAGGTGCCAGGCACAGTGCAAAGTTCTTAAAATCCATCATTTAATCTTAATTACAGCTACCACCCCCAAGGCAGGTAGGTACCAACAGTATCCCCATTATGCAGATGTGGAAAGTGAGGTTTAGAAGCCAAGTAATTTGCTCCAAATCATACAGTCAGTACATACCAAAGCCAAGATGAAAACTGGGGCATCTGACTCCAGGGCCCAAGCTCTTGATTACTACACCTTAGAGACCACAGTCTTTCTAAATAGGTGAGATTATACATCATCCACACAGACATCTCTCCAAGAAAAAGACTAAAAGCTGTCACAGATTCTGCTACTTGCACAGCACACTGCTCCATAACACACTAATAGACAAAATGGAATCAGAAAGGTCAAAATGTCTTTGAGAGACAGCTGAAGTGTTACTCAATCAATATTTGTTGGTTGATTTTTTTAAGAA